TTGTTGGTGTATATAGATCCATTGATTGATACAAGAACAATGGATTGTGAGATTGTGTTGTCAGACGCAGATTTGTGTGTATTTTCTCATGTTATATTAGCAGCATTTACGTAGTTAAATCTAGAGTGATAGGATTAAGAGCTCATTTGAAGCCTGGATTCTCAATCCCGGGAGTAATTGCTCTTGATACTTGGCCTACTGTACGCATTCCTCATTTCATCTTTGTCCTGTGGACCTGCTTGCTATTATTCAGGGATTAAATGTTGATAAACCTCAGCTTTACAATCCTAAGATTGTCCATGGCTGATGCATTCCCCACGTAATTTCACTTTTATCAAGGCCCGATGCAATGATAATGAGCCCGTCATGAGCAGACTCGGTCATGTCATTGGAGTCTCCAGTAACTTCCATCTCTTGAGACCTCAAGCCGCTGCTGAGATTCCTGTGCCATTGTGATGAATTATGCACCCATGATCTATAAATCCTTGAAACTTTGGGAGTAAAGAGGATTCTTATGGTTAGGAGATCCTCCTGTCCAGAACACCGAAGAAGAAAGTCGTGGATAATTACGATCGGTATCTAGGTTAGTTGCTGGTGGATATCATGTTCTTAACTGCAAATGCATAACTCAAAGGCATTTCCCGGAAAATTTGATTCCCATTTCATAGCAAGAAGATGTAAATTGCCCATGTGAGAATCAGCCCATACTCGAAATAGAGCATTCCTCATTGGGAAGGTAGCTAAGAGATGGCGTCAGAGCGTCTTCGCTTCTTCAATCCTTCAGCTGTCCTTACCTATTCAACATCAACACCAACCAAAGATTGGTCTCTTTTCCATTTCCATCGTGGTTTCAATTGAAACCACATGATTGACGTTGCATGTCTATTTTCTGGGACGGCATGGATGGTAATACCCGAGACATGCAATCAGCCACCTCAATTGTTTGCGCATGTAACCCTGCAAATCGCCATCCAGGGTTGCACAGACTCGCTCGGGAACCCCCCATCATCATGCATACATACTTCACTACCTACAAGAATCCGCTAACTGGCATACTTCATAGTTTTCGAAGATTTCCAATCGATATGGCCATTTACGATAGAACCCCTGCGACTACATGAATCAAAGTATCGGCGATACGGATTTCTTCCTCCAGTTCTTCGATTGTGCCGCTGAGAACGAAAATTCTTCCCCTCGTCTATAAGTGTGTCGCAGATAGGTATATACATGGCAGTTGGATAGGTAACTCTCAATAGGCAACAGGCAATTGGCTCAGCTATATCACTCTCGGAGTTTCTAGCAAAAATACTACAAGGCTGCCTCGAATGCCAATTACAAAAGTCGGACTTTAGTCTGGACCTGCCCTACAGGCCTGCAAAGCACCATGCTTCATATTCTACTATCAACAGCAATACCTCAGAGCAAGCACCAGTCTTCAGTACATAGCTAAATGGTCACTTTTCCAATCAACTCTCAACTTAACAGCGCTTCAGCACCATGCCCACTTTCTCAATGTCTTCAAGATTGATACAAAAGAACAGTCCTATGGCGCCATCACATCCGCAAATATTTACGTGCGCCCCTTGATAAGAAATTACAGCAAAGCCCCGACTTGATCTGAGAATCAGAGTTGGTCATGAAGCCTTGACATCAACTATCTGCCGCAAAACCGTACTTCATGAAGTTCGAGAACTAGATTGGTGCCGACACTCCATCGGTGTAGAAACCCGAACGTTCTCATTGCCTCTAATATCATTAAAATCCTCTAAAATTCTGAGGTCCATCCAAAGTTCCACGAGACAATAAAGCAATTCCGGCAATCTCCGATCTTCTGCTCAACATTCCACGTGGTAACAGACAACGATCGTGTCATAATACTATACGCCCCTCCCCCTCTTCTGCCCCTCTTGGTTGGACGAGATTTTTGGTTTGTATTGGAATGACTGTCTGACAGCGCACTATTATGGATAATGGTACTTTCAGCAACTTGCACTCCTGTGTCCAGCTGATGACACCCGATGAGCACTTTGTACCTTGCGCTTTATATACCACGGCAATGAATCATAGCTGGACGAGGCTATTCTTCAACATACGGTGATTTTTTATGACATGGAAGCTCTGGAGTATATATAATCCAGCGTCCTGTGATCGGAAAGCAGTTTGGTCCAGAGACTCATCAGTAGAACCACAGAACGACTTCATCAAGTGAATAACACTGAAGTCCCAAAGCGTCCTCCTCATCATATAGCAAGTCGAGGGTCTTCCTCTTATTCCTGCACTTGGAGAAGCAACCACAGCCTGATTATCTCGCACTAACCAGCGACAAGCTTTTTCTGACAAAGTCAAGTAGACCGCTGCTTCAGGCCTGTCTACGAGAAGTTTTCGCATGTCTTGAACCATCATAGTTTGTGACAGAAATTGACAACTAGCCTGTTCATAGATGATGAACGAAGATCGCAGGGAGACATGAAAAATTGGACGCTTTCTCAGAAATCGGTCCCGACATGTGTACTGGATATACGTTTCTTGTGTTCTAGTAAAGATCAGCAGCGGCTTTAGATTCTGGTTCGCGGGTTGATGACACTGTCGGCGCGAGCATGATTAGAAACCCACCAATCCCAAGACCTCATGAGATTTAGTTTTTGGCAACCGCCATATCTCCCCTGACATTCGAAAGCTTTTCGTCAACAGTTCTATCAAGTGCTTCTCGGTGTGTACTGCCTCTTCACAGGACACAGGCCTTTTTATCTTGACAAGAATATTGTACCTTGGGCCATATGAACCTAAACTGCAGTCACAGAACGGAAAGAAGAATCTTCTCCTGCTTCTCTAAGAATCTTTACATTTCACATCGAAAGCCGCGTAAAAGTAACCAAGAAGGTTTTTAGCGGATAAGATCATCTTAGATCCGAGTGGTTCTGAACTCAACATCATTGCAATTCTCCTTTGCTGTTTAAAATTGTTGTATCCCATGCATTTCAGAAGTATGCCAAAGTTTGAGTTGAGATACTATTGCTGCATTAAGCTCAGCTCAGCCTCAAATAATACCATTCAAAGCCACATAGACAGAAGACATCCATGTAACAAAAGTTCTTGTGTTGGTGATGATTCATGGCCTAGTGGCTCTTAAAGGCGTCTTGTTTCTTTTACTATGTCCAAGTACACATAGATTGACCTTTGTAGCCTTGATAAGATATATCGAGGCGCGCATATTTTTGGATCTTGTTCTTTTTTTGCCACAGAAAATCCTTTGGAGTCTAACCCCAATAACATAGACATGGCAACAAGATGATAGTCATTCGGCTTTCAGGGATTAATATCTTTTTTTTGCAAAACCCCTATTCACAAATCCAACCACAGATGATCAACAAGAGGAAAGTGGCTATATCGAGCCTGTGGGCTGGAGATTCGGATCGAAAATTCACCAAGTGCCCATATACAAACATCAGCAGAGTTGAAACATTGGAGAATCTAGTGTTTGAGCTTCTCGTGGTAGCAGTTGCATGAATCACCGAGTTTTCGCTTCTAAAGATGCTAGTTGTAAACCACAGCTATGATGACCTCAAAGAGGTATGCGACACATATTTTGGACCATAAAAAGTACACCTGCTCAATTACATATGTTTATGGAGTACGAAGGCGCAAGCATATGCAGAAAGTTTTTCTAACCGACCACATTCAATTATGACATGTAATCGCAGGAATTCAATATCTTTATAGAATTTCAAGCCTGAAAGAGATATACCCCAAAATGGCGTTCTAAACATGAATTCACAGATAAGACGTTGCTACAAAAAGGTCACTCTATAGGATTATCATCTATAAAGATTAACTTGGACCATCTCAATTTGGTAGGACCGGAATGCTCCTTCGCAGAGTGGAGGTTGAGGAAGACCTCGGCCCCTCATGTGATAAATTCCAAATTCACTCGAAGTATTTGCTGCTGGGTCCTTGCAGTAACAAGAAATATGTGCTAAGCCCTAATTTCAGTCAATTTTTAAAGTGCTTACACCTGAGTTGATTTTGGCCTTGGCTACTTCTTATCTCGACCTTACAACTACCTCCAGATGAAATAACTCAGTACTTTCAACACGCTACTTCCTTTTCTGAACTTTCCTGTCTTCTTCTATCATAGATAGAGCTTCCTAAAAGCAAATTGCCTTAACTTCTTCCCCCTTTTCCTGTACAAATTTTATTGCGTTTTGATTGCTGTGGTTACATCCTCAAATTGTAACTGTCTCAAATTCGCAACCCAGATCGCAACCTACAAACCAGAAACCTCAACATACCTTTTTGCATTCAAACAATAGACCTGTTGATTTACAGGTTCAACCCGATAGCTCAACAGTTCTATCACATCATTTGTACGTATATCGATACTCCTCACCTTATTAATTTTGGTATGTCTGCCATGGCATCACATTGCGCTCCTTGTCAATGATATCAACAAACATCAAACTTAAAAACTCTTGAATCATTTTCTTTTGGGAGAAATTAATCAAAGCAGTGTGTGCGTTTGCTGCAGAGCACCAGTTTCTGTTTCTAGCAACTTCTTCCTCCACAAGTATCCTTGGTCATCAACTTACAATTACATAGGTCTTCAAGTGATCTTTCAAAATCCTTGGAAGTAAGGTAAGCTATCTAATTTCTCATCGTTGTCCCTGCAGCTTGCCCCTGTTTTTAACAGAAGAATTGTGGCCTGTGGCTTACCGCAAACAAGTGCAGCTATCCGCAGGCTTCCAACCTTATTTGGAAGAGCAAACGGAGAAGTTTCATCAGAAGCTTTCATCAAAGCTCTAGAAGAATCCTTATTAGAGGTCTGTTCCAAGAATCATTCTTTATCCTTGTTATTATTCTTAAGAGTGTTGACTAATTCGATTAATCATTTCCAGGATCTCCAACAATCTCAATTCAATACTTTGCGAATATACACCGTTCGTACCTTTAGTTTTCAAATCCTCTTCATACTCTGATACTTCAACCTCTATCAAATATTCAACATGTCAACTCAAGTCAAAATATGTTCTAAAACCAAACTTTCCAGCTCTCCTGAGTCTTCTCACGAGAGTTGTGACGCAGTTGATGCGATCGACACAGAAATGATTTCACCGCTAACCTCGATCGATAATGATAGTACCCGTAGTCTTACTCCAGACAAGATGGATCCTTTTCATTCAGCTCGCGAGCGTGAGGAACGTATCCGTAGAAACGGAACAGTGCCCAGCCAAATCCCTATTCAGAACATGGGTATGAACAACATGAACAACAACGGCAACATGAGCAACATGAACAACAACGGCAACAGCAACGGCAACGGCTGGCGCCGCCCTTCTGTCTGCGACCCGGCCTACACAGGTCAAGAAGGTTTCACTCCGCTGACCATGGTTCGCCCTGGTCCTGTCTATCCTCTTCCTGAACAAATCAGCTCTGCATTTGCTTATGGCATTCGCCGAGCCGATGGCTCTTACACAAGACTTCTTCCAGCTGATGAGCTTCCCGCTCTTAATGGCATTCCTCGTCACCAAGGTCCAGAAGGACTCATCATTGTTCCAGAACTTCAGCATGGTTCACCAAAGCCAGAGTTTGCTACTCTTATGATTCCGAATAAGGTACGTTGAGAGCATTTTGTTTCAGGTGATATGCTGACATAAGTTGTTTTAAGGTCGTAGCAAAGCTTCCACCGCTTGGCCCACCAATGTTTGGAGTCAATCAGCAAGGTGGTTTCCGTCGACCAGGAGATCAAACTCAGGTAAGAGAATATCTTGATTCCAGATATACCTTTAATGGAAAATATGTACTAACTTCCCTCTCAAGTTGGCGATCGACTCTATCGTTGCCTCAGCTGTTAATCCCCCTGCGAGTGCTTCTCCAGCAAACAATGCCATGATCCCGATGGGTGGTCCATTTCGCCGAGAAAAGATCTACTGTGATAAGTGGGTTCATGAAGGCACTTGCGCTTTCACCCAAGTTGGATGTAAATACAAGCACGAAATGCCGATGGATAAGGCCACGCAAGTTTCTCTTGGTCTCAACCATGGAGTTCCAAACTGGTATCGTCGTCAACATGGTCTTTCTGTCTCTCCACAAACTGGAACAAATGTTCAAATTGAAGCACCTTGTGCAACTCCAACTCCAACTGGTGGAACATCCCGTACGTCTCAATCTTGGCGTCGCAAAGAAGGCACGTCTTTCTCTCTCCCGACCTCAGCTCAAGGTGTTGCAAATGGTCGTGGTATGTCTCTTTTGGTATCTCATACTTTTCATGATTAACAGGAACTAATCTTATCATTGCAGATCGTCGTAGCTCTGGTGGCTCATTCGGTCCCATCGGTCCTCCCCACACACGTCGTCTCACAAACTCGTCCTCTGGTGATTCAATGAATAGAAATCATCTTTCTGTCCCAGAGAATGACAATGAGCATGATAACGACACCAATATGCAGTGGAATGGTAGAGCTCGTGGCTATACTAACGGCAACGATCAAAACCGACGTCAACAATAAGTTGACTTGCCAAAACTTACTCTCCAACGATATAGATATCTATCTCAGCATCTTCTGCTCAAAATTCCTACTTCTATATCTCACTTTCCTCGACGTCGGTTCTTTGGGCTATACCTCTTTCTCACTAAATACGATTTGGCTGATCATGGTTTCAAATTCAGGTCAATGGCTTCACCAACTAGATGAAGTGCTGATTGTGATAGATGGACTCGGAGACCTGGGATAAACAAAACTTCTTACTTGCTACTATATCTGGGGTTATAACATTTGGTTTCACTTTTCTTTGTGGTATTTTCATTTTCTTTGGCTACAAAAAATTGCTTAGTATTTCATCATAACAGCATGGTCTTCATATTCGTTTCTACATTCGGGTTTTGCATTTTCACAAATGGCTATGAAGACATTATATGCCCTGGTGGTGTGTAATGAAATGAATGAATGGGTAAGCAGGCTGGTGGGTTGAAGAATTTGCATGATTGAATGAATGGGAAGGATGATATGGGAATTATGATGACAACGATTGGGAAGGATTTTTTATGGTAAACATATCAGATAAGGGTCATGAAAAGCGTCTATAAGTCAATGGGATGATGGATGATATGGGTCGACGACAACAACATTTTGGGCACGCAGCTTATTCTGCACCGGATGCCTACTGGATAGTACCCCAATTTCTTTGCAATTACCTGCTTTGCGTTGATGAATGTGATCTTTGCTCCCTGTGAGATGTTTTTGGCCGTGTGATGTAGTACATATGATAATCCATTATAAGAGACCTTAAAGCCGTGCTGGCTGTCCTCTTTTTCTAGTAGGGCTATTGTTCTGAAGTTTTCAGTATAGATATACTCATTCAAACTAACATTGCTTGACCCCATACCCATTAGAGATGAGGACCTGCATGAAGGCTAGAGCTTGCATCGGATATGGATTGAAGGATACAAACTATGGGCTTTGGGTAGTGTGCGGAAGATCTGAGGGTTGGTTTGGCTAGTAATGACTGCAAGTTTAGGTAATATTTCTACGGGTTCTCTTGGTTGCTTGGTCCATGTTGAGGAGGGATGTGGTCAAATGATTCTTCTGAGCACTCTGTTGATGAAACTCTGAAAGTTCCTTGCTCCCCTTCAGAGGATAAGTTCAATACACAGAGCAAGTGAGACATCAAGTTCAAAGATTAAAAATATTATTATTTTGCATATCAATCATAACGTGGTAGCGACAGTATTACTTAAAAGCAAAACGCCAAACGAACTCCAATGACAAATCTCCTCGACTAATTTTCCACACCGAAACAGCAAGAAAACTCGTCTCACAATTTTCCTAACCTCTTAACCCATGGTCCCCGGTTCGTCCACTCTTCCTCCCCATCTCCTATTTCTCCAACCATTCTATGACCACTACTCCCCTCCTCACCCCTCTTAAAAATAACAATCGCCGTATTCGGGTTTTGACATAACCCCTGAAGCGAAAGACATTTGTTAGTAGAACAGCACGTTCTCATGCAGGCGGAACCGATGCCGCAATCGGAGTCGATGGTGCAGGAGGAGAGGGCTGCGCAGGGGGTATCGGCCATGCAGTAGCCTGTGCCGTTTACGGTTGGTTCTATGAAAAGATACTTGTTAGTGGTTTACATAATTGGAAATAGCTTGGGGGAGAAGAGGGAGACATACGACATAAGCAGGTGTTGTTTGATGAACAATATTGATTTTGACGGCAAGCGGATGGGGCGTTGCATGTAGCTATAAGGGGAGAGACAGGGGATCGAGGGATGGGAGATGAGGATGGGGTAGGGAGAGAAGTAGAGGTAAGAGAGCTGTTTGTAACGAGTTGAGATGTGATGGTGGAGAATGTGGATGAAAGGGATATCAAAGAGGTTATTGAAGATGATAGTATTGATGCTAAACTGGAAGATGTAGCCGAAGAGGAAATGATAGATAAAGTGGTAGGAGTCAATGAAGATAAGGATGGAGAGGTAGAGATCGTTCCCGAGATCAAATTCGAAGAGGATGTTGAGAATTCTGTGCTAGTTGATGATAAAGGTGTAGTATAGGATGTGTTCAGGCTGGAAACTAAAGAATTTGAAGATGAAATAGTCGAAAATGTTGGTGACAATACAACGGAAGAGGAAAGGAAGCTTCCTGTGCTTGAGGTAAGAGAGTGTGATGAGGAAGTCGTTGATGTACTTTGGGATGAAGTCGAGTCTGAACCAAATGTAGTAGAGAGTGAGTGCAGGGTGACTGTCGCCTGCGAAGAAGATCCCGATGATAGACTGCCAGCACTAAATGCAAGACTGGATGAAAAAGCACTGGGAGCAATTGTAATAGTAGATGTCGACACTTCAGTATTTAGAGTGGTAGTGGCTGATAGAGTCGATGATAAATTGATCAATGTTCCGGATGATTGAGCGGAAGAAATTGTTTCGAATGACAAGCTGCTAGATGAAAGAGAGGATGTAATAACTGAACACTTTAGCGCAATGATGAAACAGCAGATGAGAATACATACCATTCACAGAAGTTGAGTCAACCCCTACAGTTGAGCTCGAGCTCAAGCTACTGCTAGATGTTGGTCCTTGAACATAACTGGAAGAAACCACACTGATGGTTTCCACAACATTCGAACCAAATGCAGAGATCGAACCCTCAAACGAGGTTCCTGGTAAGTTCACAGTAGTGTACTCCGTTATATACGAAGTAGAAGCTGTGATGGTGATAGTAGCTATCGCCACGCTTAAGTGACTTCGACATGCTTCAACGTATGCACTATAATTCGGACAAGCACTCGTCGCATATGGCGGGATAGTTTCTGTAGTCGTGCTTATGGTTGCTTCTAGCGTGGTTGTAAGTGTAATGGCGTCTCCAGTGACAGTGACTATAACGACGTCTCGTGGTTTCACGTCTCTGGCGGTCACGTACACTATATTTGTGCTGGCTTCCGTATAGGTGATTTCGTTAAGAACCACTGTAGTGATTGTGACCAAGCTTGTTTAATCATTAGTATTGGATATACTCAATTGAATGATGGATTGGAAGTACCCAGAAGCTATGTATGACGGTGTAACAGTAGTTCGCATGTAATTAGAGCAATCCAATTCTCGTACATCTCTTGCGACATGATCATGAGAGCCACCAACTATATAGCCACAGGCATCGGAGCCCTGCCACCGATGTGCATTTGATGAACCAAGGAGGAGGAGGGTAGTCAATAACTTCATAGTAGAGACGCTGGTGGAAGTATTGTATGGATAATCGCTCTTTAGCAACACTCGAGAAACATCACATATATAGCAAAAGGATTGGGAATTGATGGGCTACTTATTCACAGATGGAAGGTTAGTCGCGTTGCTCCAGAAATCCTCTCCGTGGCATGGTATGCGTCTTGGAAATTATGTCGCTCCGACGTTTATGACGATCGTTGCGGAATAATGTAGACGTGGATACGTGAAGAATGCTGTAGTAGGCGCAACGATCATTGTAATATTGGATTTCTGGACAATATTGAATATTTCAGTCGCTTGTACAAAACTGGAGAATTGCTAAAACATGATGATTGGAATCTCAAATTTATCATTCGATGGAAAGGAGGGAGGTATTTTTTCGACACTGATCGAGATACTGCCAATGTTTCATCGTATCGCAATTTGAAATCCGGAAAATTCTCTAAAATTAAAAAACTTGAAAACTAACGATGGGTATTTAACTTGATGATTAAAGAAAGAAACATAGTCTATACATAGAGACCCTTAATTGCCCCCATGGACAGGTAAATTCGCTGTCTAATTGACGCCTTCCAATGCACGGTCTTCTGTTCCCCTACTCCATTACCCCCATTTAAATGCTGCTTAGGAACAAAGTTCCCGAACTTGTGTAGGCATGTTATCGTCAAGGTCGTTACAAATCGTCCATAATCCACCAAATGTAAAGATGTGGTTTAGTACCCTCCATAGAAGGTATAATACATCGCTATGTACACTCTGCATGCAGGGAAGGCGGTGGCCGTTCATACGAATCTTCCCCTCTTTCCGCCCCCACCGAAAGAATCGTCTCCATGGCCTAAATTTCCTAAATCAAAGAAATCCCCGAAGTTTATTTTCCTCTTTTGACCAGCTCCTCTGTTTATCTGTGTCGTCGAAGATCTAGAGTTTAATCGAGACGAATGATTGCTGTGTCTTGCGTTGGTTCGTGAGGGCCGAGTAAGGGAAATACCCGCTGACTGATTACCAAAATTATCATGGGGTTGAGGGCGATTCTTATCTGATAAATCTAAATCTGACAATAAAATATCGGGATCTTGTGGATATTGCTGCGAAGATCGGAAAGTGAATGTGCCTTGTGGAAGCGCTGTAATCGTTGGAGGTTCTGGGTCGGGCAGAACAACGGCCGCAGGTGCAGGCACTGTTTCTGCGCTCATTGGAGAAGCAGTTCTTGTTGGTTTAGGAGTTGATGCCGAAATGTGACTTGAACTTTGCGATCTTTGAATTACTGGTGATGATCCCCTATCTCCTTTTTCAAGAACCTCGTCGTCGCTGTCGTTGTGTGATGCTGTGTCCCGACCATCTAATCTCTCAGTCGCCCATCTTCGAATCCTCCAACCCTCGCCATCGCTCAGCCCAATATCTTCTTTATCGAGGAAACTTAAGAGTTCATCCAGTGCATCTTGATAACCTTCAGCCCTAGCTCTTCCTTGATCTGCAGCGGCAGTTTTATAGAGATTGGTGACGGATAAAGCGGCAGCTTTGAATTGTGCGATAAGAACTTGTTGCGGAGGGTCGCTGTTCAATTGTTTTGAAGGTGATTTGCCCCCTGGAAGGGAGGTATTCAAAGATCTCATGGAGTCCATGATTGTTGTTGAAAATGAGTTTGTACTGAGTTCTGTAACAAAGGTGGAAATTAGTCAGATGATGGGTTCCACGGGTAGACGCAGGATTATGAATGTAATGACCCTTGATTTTAGCCTAGCAACATACCTTTTCGTGGTGAAGGAATCGCAAAAATCCGATCAAATGAAATAATCTCAAACAACTCTCGTATTCAAGCTCAATGAAGAAGAAGAGCTCGGAATATAAATATGACTCCTTTAATGAGGATTCGAACAGTTTCTGTACTGTGGAGTGGAGGAAGTTCTGGTTGATTTTTGAAGAGACAAAGAGCAATGACTTTTTCTCGGCCCGTGCTCTATGAACCACGGCGTGGCAGTTAATCCGTATTCCGTGATCAGTACCGCGTTCATTCACGCCTGTGCTGTAGATTCTACTCAATGAACGCGAAATTCCACTTCAGGTCAATTTCTTAATTTCTGCATCTCAATCTCAACCTCAATCAACAAACAGTATTGCTCTTTTGATTTCAAGAAACCATTCATCATCAAAACTCCTTATACCTTTCCATCTAGTGAAGCACTTCTCCTTCTCGGCGCATAAGTGATACACTTCTTACCATTAAGTGCCCTAGAAAGGGTTGAAGTTATATCAAGATGGCGCCAACACGTTCTTCACGCAATAGTGGCGTCGATACAGATATGTCCATGGCAGATGTCTCTGAAGTCAAAGAACAACATGCTGACCCTATGGTATGTTTCGTTTTGATCTAAAATACATTTACTCTAAAAGCTGTCGAGGCTTTATTTCCACGTACATCGACCTGAAGTGATGATATACTAACTGGCGCATTAGGATGTCGATGAAACCCCAGATTTTACAGAAGATTCTGATACCAATCCAAATACAACAGAGAGCAGCGTTCATGGTGATGCAGGAGATGGACGTAAACGAAGATCAGAAGCTACTCAATTGCGTCGGAGCGTTTTTGGCAAGAAACATGATCGTCTTGGTGAATCCAAGGTATTTTTACCGGCTTTTACTGATCTTCAAGAGTAACAGCTGATTGATCCTCCCTATTATAGGAAGACGACTCCATTCGACGTTTCCGATATCTTCTTGGCCTGACAGATTTATTCAGGCATTTCATTGAAACAAACCCAAATCCACGAATCCAGGAAATTATGCACGAGATTGATCGCCAGAATGAAGAAGCTGAACAAAAGAAGAAGAGTGCGGATAGAAAAGGAGGTGCAGCCAACGAGAGACGCCGCAGAACAGAAGCAGAAGAAGATGCAGAGCTCTTAAAAGATGAAAAGGCTGGAGGGTCTGCGGAGACTGTATTTCGCGAATCGCCAGGCTTTATTCAAGGACAAATGAGAGATTACCAAGTTGCCGGATTGAATTGGCTGGTTTCTCTCCATGAGAATGGTATTTCGGGAATCCTTGCAGATGAGATGGGTCTTGGAAAGACCTTACAGACAATCTCATTTTTAGGTTATTTGAGGCATATTATGGATATTACTGGTCCTCATCTCATTGTTGTCCCGAAATCTACGCTTGACAATTGGAAGAGAGAGTTTATAAGGTGGACGCCAGAGGTCAATGTTTTGGTACTCCAAGGAGCCAAGGAGGAGCGTAATAATTTGATCAACGAGCGACTTATCGATGAAAAGTTCGATGTTTGTATCACGAGTTACGAAATGATTCTTCGAGAGAAATCTCACTTGAAGAAATTTGCGTGGGAATACATCATTATTGATGAGGTAGGACTGTTTATTCCATAAAAGTGATCCCTGGCTAACTAAACTAGGCCCATCGTATCAAAAACGAAGAGTCCTCCCTTGCTCAAGTCATTCGTTTATTTAATTCAAGAAATCGACTTTTGATCACCGGTACTCCATTGCAAAACAATTTACATGAGCTTTGGGCCCTTCTCAACTTTTTGCTTCCAGATGTTTTCGGTGATGCCGAGGCATTTGATCAATGGTTTTCTGGCCAACAAGAAGATCAAGATACCGTTGTCCAGCAATTACATCGCGTATTGCGCCCTTTCTTACTTCGTCGTGTCAAGGCGGATGTCGAAAAGAGTTTATTGCCCAAAAAGGAGGTTAATTTGTACATTGGCATGTCCGACATGCAAGTCAAATGGTACAAAAAGATTCTTGAGAAGGATATCGACGCAGTCAATGGTGCGGGTGGAAAACGTGAATCCAAGACACGACTTTTAAACATTGTCATGCAACTTCGGAAATGTTGCAACCATCCATATCTTTTTGAGGGTGCTGAACCCGGACCACCTTACACTACCGATGAGCATTTGGTCTTCAACGCTGGAAAGATGGTCATGTTAGACAAACTTCTTACTCGTATGAAGAAAGCTGGAAGTCGAGTCCTAATCTTCTCTCAGATGAGCAGACTTTTAGACATCCTTGAAGATTACTGTGTTTTCCGTGAATACAAGTATTGTCGAATTGATGGTGGTACAGCACACGAGGATCGTATCCAAGCAATTGATGATTACAACAAGCCAGGCAGCGAAAAATTTGTCTTCCTTTTAACTACCAGAGCTGGTGGTCTTGGTATCAATTTGACCAGTGCTGATATTGTTGTCCTCTACGACAGCGATTGGAACCCTCAAGCAGATTTGCAGGCTATGGATCGAGCACATCGTATTGGACAAACAAAACAAGTTGTTGTTTATCGATTCGTCACTGAGAATGCCATTGAAGAAAAGGTTCTAGAACGTGCTGCACAGAAATTACGTCTAGATCAACTCGTTATTCAACAAGGTCGTGCCCAGATTGCTGCTAAGGCAGCCGCTAATAAGGATGATCTGTTGAACATGATTCAGCATGGAGCCGAAAAGGTTTTCGCGACTACTGGACCAACAGGCACTCTTGCAGAAAAGGGTGCAGACCTTGACGATGATGACATTGATGAAATTTTGAAGCATGGTGAGAAGCGTACTGCAGAACTCAATGCCCGTTACGAGAAACTTGGTATCGATGACCTTCAGAACTTCACGTCAGAATCCGCTTATCAATGGGATGGTAAAGACTTCAGTAATCAAAAGAAAGACATTGGTATGACTTGGATTAATCCCGCCAAGCGTGAACGCAAGGAACAATCTTATTCCATGGACAAATACTACAAGCAAGCTTTGTCTACTGGCGGTCGCGTTGCCGATCCAAAACCTAAAGCACCCAAAGCGCCTAAACAAGTCACAGTTCATGACTATCAATTCTTTCCACCAACTCTACGAGATTTACAAGATCGTGAGACTGCGTTTCATCGTAAAGAAATCGGTTACAAAGTTCCTCTTGCAGATGGTACAGATGAAGATCTCTCGGATCGTGAGGCTGAACGTAATTTGGAGCAATTGGAGATTGACAATGCTACTCCTCTTACTGAAGAAGAGCAAGAAGAGAAGCAACTCCTATCTCAACAAGGTTTCGCTGACTGGAATCGTCGAGACTTTCAACAATTCATTAACGGTTCTGCAAAATATGGCCGTAAAGATTACAATATGATTGCTGAAGAAGTGGACAGCAAGGGACCGGAGGATATCAAAGCTTACGCTAAGATCTTCTGGCAACGATATACCGAAATCGCTGATTATGCTAAACACATCGGTCAGATTGAAGCTGGTGAGGAGAAAACAAGAAAGATGGATCACCAAAGAAAAATGTTGCGCAAGAAAATGCAACAATACCGAGTACCATTACAACAACTCAAGATCAACTACTCAGTATCAACTACAAACAAAAAGGTCTATACTGAGGAGGAAGATCGTTTCTTGCTTGTTCTTCTAGACAAGTACGGAGTTGATAGTGATGGTATCCATGAAAAAATCCGTGATGATATTCGTGAGAGTCCTCTTTTCCGATTTGATTGGTTCTTCTTGAGCAGAACCCCAATTGAGATTAGCAGAAGATGTACAACACTTTTGACAACAGTTGCTAGAGAATTTGATGAACCGGCTGCAGCTAAACCTGCAGCAAATGGTACTGCAAATGGCAAAGCCAAGAGAGAACCTGAAGATGATGAAAATGATGAGGATAGCGTTTTGGGAATGGCTCCTGCCAAAAAGAAGTCGAAGAATGGTGTTAAGGTACGATTATCTATTTTACCGAAGCAAACTTGTACATGATTACTAACTATTCTTTCAGAACAAAGCACTGGATAATGTCAAGTCTACTGCTGGGAGTAAAGCAGCTTCAGCAACTCCATCTTCAAGAGCTTCAAGCGTTGCTTCAAATGCTTCCAGTCCAGCACCAGCTTCGGTTTCGAAGAGCAAGTCTAAGGGTAGAAAGAGATGAAGATGCAGATGAGGACGAAGAAATCGAGTCAAAATAGCTCGGTGTGTTACTATTACGAAAAGGAACTTGTCATGTGTATTCATTTAGAAGGCATGGCTTTGGGTAGGGCGTTATGAGGATTAATTGCTATGCGCTTCGTCATCATAGAGGTCAAGAATGCGTAGTTTTAGATGGATATGTTTACATCATGATATGTAGACAAGTTGTGAATGATTGAATTCCACAAGAATTACAAAATATACTGTTATAAAATACCACAATTTTTTATCTTTTTCTTTATTATGACAATCGACTATTTGGAGGTGAATTACATTGATCCGCTAGCTGGCATACTTTTCGACCCTCAATTATCTTAAACATACTATTTAGGGTCCTCATGATCGCCTTCATATACCTAAAAACTCCAATATGTAATAAAAATTGGTATACACACACACACACACACACAATCCGAACCGACCACCGAAAATTAGTACGAACCTCTAATCTCTAGCATTCATCTTACGTAATGCAAAAATTTAATAGCACCCCACCATTCATCCCACCAACGGCGAGCGATCTTTTTCTTGAGCTTTTATGAGAGTCTTGATCAATATTTACGTACATTCTCTAGAAATTCGAGGTTGTCGATATAGTATTCTGATACGTGAGTGCTATTCTCTTCTCTACAGAAATTGTAACTGACCCTCATGATTTATTAGCAACCTTTGATCTAAAATTCTAGTCAGCTTTTGACTAGCACAGCACAAATCAAAAAGATCATACATAGGTACTTGAAGTTTGAAAGAGATTTGAGTTAGGAAAGTTCCTAGTATCTGTAAATAATTTACCTTCAAACCCTCAAGTTTCCATCAGAAGAAAAGAAAGATGTCACCCCTTTCCAAATTCGACGGGTTAGAACTCCCTGCTGCGGCAGATTTTCACGTACATCTACGAGATGGAAAGATGATGGAGACAGTTGTTCCAACCATTAAGTTGGGAGGAGTGGATACCGTAAGTGGTTTTCTTTATAGGAAGAGTTTTCGTTTCATTCAGATTTCGAAAGTTTCTCTTCTCGACCACAAAGTCCAGATTATTTAGATTTTTTCTCTGATTTGCTAAACTATCATACAATAGGTCTATGTAATGCCCAATCTCGTTCCACCCGTTACTACTGTGGCTGCAGCTCTGGCCTATAAAGAACGTCTTCTTGCCATCGAGCCAAATGTCAATTATCTCATGACTCTTTATTTACACGAGAGTATTACCCCTGAAACTGTTCGAGAGGCTAAGAAGGCGGGAATTGTGGGAATTAAAAGTTATCCAGCTGGTTCGTGTTTTTCATCCAAATTTCTAGTGACTCGGACTGCAGTTCGATGATTAGAAGCTTTCAGTCTTTGGAAGTAATACAACATTTAAAGAGTAGGGAGTTTGAAATACTCTTTTACCTTGGATAATGTATTACTTTCAAGTATCGAGAACTTACAATCTGCCAATCCCCCAGTCCGGACTCATAAATACTCTACTCCATCTATTTCCCTTCCAGAAATAGACTTACATAAAGAAAACTAATCAAACACAGGCGTAACAACCAATTCCTCCTCAGGCGTCATCTCCTACGAACCTTTCTACCCCGTCTTCGCCGCCATGGCTGAAGAAGGACTCGTCCTCAATCTCCACGGTGAATGTCCCTCTGACCACAAAAAAGACATCACCATCCTCAACGCCGAAGCTTCTTTCCTCCCCACCCTCCTCTCTCTCCACCGCCAATTCCCCACCCTCAAAATCGTCCTCGAACACTGCACCACCGCCGCCGCCATCCAAACCGTCAAACAATGCGGTCCCAACGTCGTCGGAACAATCACCGCTCATCACCTCTTCCTCACCATCGACCAATGGGCCGACGACGCTTTCCACTTCTGCAAACCGGTGGCGAAATTACCCAGCGATCGGACCGCGTTGCTCGTCGCAGCAGTCGAGGATTCCGAGAAATTCTTCCTCGGCACCGATAGCGCACCCCATGATATCGGCGCCAAGAAGGGCGGAACGGGAAAGACGGCCGCGGGAGTGTTTACGCAGGCGCATGCGGTGGGTCATGTGATTACGGCGTTGGAAAGGGGGGTGGAGATGGGGGTTTTGAGGGAGGAGGATGTGACGAGGGAGATTTTGGAGGGATTTTTGGGGAAGAGAGGAAGGAAGTTTTATGGGATTGCGGAGGCGGGGACGGGAGAGGGACAGAGAATTGTGTTGAGGAATGGAGAGGAGATTGTGAGAGCGAGTTTTAAGGGGGAGGGAGTGGAGGTTGTGCCGTTTTGGAGGGGTCAGAAGATTTGGAGTGTGCAGTGGAAGTAGGTGTTTGGTGTGCAAGTATATGTAAGAGAAATATACAACCCTTCAAAACACATGTCCTTGATATTTCTCTATTAAAGAAACACCTCCTCCTACCCTCATTCATTCATTCATCCAACAAAACTCCCCATCCAGTAAAAGCTCTACATATCAAACCCCCCAAAAAACTCATAACACAAACCATAAACAGATACCTACTCAGTACACCAGGTGGTATAAAAGCATGACGTTTCATCTCACATCTCAGATTTTACAAGAAACATTCATATCCTTTCCTCTTTCTCTATCTCTATCTCTATCTTTAATCTTTATTATAGTATATATTCTAATAGCTCTGATTTGAAATCTGAGATTTGAAATATAAAGTAGAAATGACTATTTATTTATTCATTCATTTATTTATTTATTTATCTATAGCGATGTAAAGATAAAGATACAAAAATATAATATACAAAAACACAAAGATACTATGCTATTCAGATATTCAGATATATAGATATATAGATATAGATATTCTATTCTATTCTATTCAGTTCTCTTCAATTCATTTACTAGTAATCCTTCCATCAATCCTTCCATCAATCCTTCTCTCAACCCTTCTCCCAATACAAATCCCAAGTCATACCAACCCTAACCCTAATACTTGCATACACGCGCTATAATTTCTCCTCTCCTTCCTCTCCTCTCCTACTCACACCCCCAGTTCCCAATCCCCCCCCCAGTTCCCAAATTCCCACACCACACCCCCCAATTCCCAAAATCCCATCCTATATACAAAGAAATCCAAAAGGCTACCTATTTACCGAGCCGTCGATATTCTATCAATATATCTATTTACTAACTAACGCCTTGTCCCGATATATATTCTAATACCTGATATCCTGATATCCTAGTTTCATAACTATATGGTTTTGTATATATGTATATGTATATGTATATATGTATAACATAACTATATATACTTCCGAGGCATATTTAATTTTAATATATATGCTCTGGGTTGGATGTTGATGTTGATGTTGATGAGGATGTTCATCGATGGATATGCATGTGCATATCCATATCCATGTGTTCCACTCACTCTATAATATGTATGATATTCCCAATTCCATCATCTTTTGTCCCGAAGACAAAGAAGAAGAAGAAGTAGCCAGAAAAAAGAACCACCCCCACCGTGGAATCACAAACTAAACCAAACCAAACCAAACCAACCTAACCTAAACCACTTCCCCCGCCGTCTTCCTCCTCCCAAACCCCGGAATCGTCCTCTTCTTCCCACCCCGCTTCTCCTCCATCCCAACGGGCATAACTCCACTGGAATAAGCCTTCTTACTCCCCATCCTCCTCCCACTCTTCACATCCCTCCTACTAGCCCCACAACAACACATACCCACATGAATCACCCACGCGATAATCACACAGGAAGCACCGATCCACATAAACGCAAACATCCGGGTGCCCACACTCGCGCCAATATTCAAGCCCGCCTGACTCGTCACCGTATTGCGGAAAATGATAAACATCACCGTGGCGATAATCGCCGCCGTGGTGACGAGAAGCGCGGAGATAAATGTCCAGATGGCGTAGAACCCGGATATCCAGCGGGAGTAGATGGTGAAGAAGGAGAGGAAAATGTTGCAGAAACTCATGACGACACCGGTGATGAAGAAGCCGAACATGATGTGACTAGCGATGCGGATGAGACTGAGGATATTGTTTATTTGAGCGGGGAGAGCAATGGTTGCGCCGGCGAGGAGCTCATTGAGGAGGATATCGACGGGGTTGAACCAGTAGAGGTGTTGGGGGGTGGAGCAAGCGGTGATGCCTTCATCGTTGTAGCCTTCGCAGAAATTCCAGAGGCCGACTTGGTAGAAATCGTGGAGGCCGAGGGATCGGGCGAGAGAGTTTTGCAGGGTGATGCCACCGCCGACGGATTCGGGAATGATGTTTGTGAGGTCGAGTCGGAAGAACCAGGTATCGCGGATGACGGCACGGTTGTTTATATTGCCGATTATTGTCTGAGATTTGTGTGTTAGTTTTAGAAGATGAGGGAGAAGATTGAGATATGGGGGGAATGGCAATGGCAATAGCAATGGGTGACAGTCTAGAAAATCAAAACTTACAAGAATTAAAAAGATGACGGCGATCAAGTACAAGAAACTGGTGATATAAATAGCTCTCTTCCTCGCCTTGGTAGCTCTCTTGATATCCACGCCGGCCATCGAGACATGATTTGAATTGTCACCAGGAGTTAACGTTCGATCGGAACTTTTATCTGTGGTGCGACCTTCTGGGGCTATGGTTCCTGTTTGGTGAGCTGGGATTGCTTCTTGACGTTTTCGATTGGGGAAGAAACCCATGGTGAGATTGGGTGGTGAGGTGAGGTGAGATGAGACGAGATAAGGTTATTGATTGATGTTGAATTGAGATGTGATGAGACGAGATGAGGGAATTGATTTGATGACTATCTCTTTGTACACTTTCACAAATCCTATCTATGTGGATAGATGGATATACAATGTGAGTGAGTGGGTGAGTGAGTGAGTGATAGACGACGACAGCAATGATCGAATAGCACAATCCAAAAGCCCAATCAATAAACCATCCAAAATCGATCCATCCACAAAATGAAAGACGGTAGAAGGATCCTAGGATAGATATCAGATAATCATCCACTGATGTTCTCCCAAGACACAAACAAGCCTACCTCACTCACACTTCCTCTATGCAATTCTTCACCAAAAGCTTGATTCTCCTTGACCCGTACCCAGTTTTCAGCGACGTTAGTGTATTAGTCGAGAATCGGCATGTATTGTACGAAGAAATGGTAGTAATGATAATAAATATTAAATAATAAATAATACCGTAAATGAATATTCACAATGCTCACTCACAAATACAAGAATCGTCAGAATAAAATCAAATAATAAGATTGGAAACAAAGTAGATTTACCCTACGACCCATCTTATCGACATCATCGAAACCATGGTACCTACACCTGCTATCCACACACAGGGGGGCTTGGACATTTGCATGCATGGATTGACATTTTAGTATTGAGTAAAAGAGGGTACGGAGTCATCTTGCGCATCGAGAACTGGCTGTTCGTGTTGGAGCTTGGAGGACGCTTGCTCGGCTTGACAGTCAATCAATCAATTCTCGAGCATCTAGAGAGATCTGGAGTGATTGGATTGGCTTGAGGATTTGAAACTACGACTCTAGGTGATGGTCGGGAGGTTGGAGGTTGGAGGTTGGAGGTTGGAGATTGGATTTGTAAGATACAGCAAACAGATTTTTACAGACGAGACTTGGGAAACAGGTGAGACAGGGAGATGGTGAGAAGAGAGGAGAGAAAAAAGAAGAAGAAAAATACGCCGCTGATGTCGTTGTACATAAGTATCCATATGTATGTATGTATGTACGACAGTTTTCATCAATCTGGACTCTGGACTCTGGAGACCTTGAAATTATTCAACTAATAAAACTATTGAATTCTCCAAGCAAAACTTTGAGAATCTACGAGTGGAGGAGTAGGGATAGATGTCGAATTTGTTGATTGATTACTGGTACCTAGTATGTATGTATGATATGATACACTTTTCATAAAGCTTGGTGTTGTTGGTGTTGGTGGTGGATACGCTGGATACACTGTGAGAATTCTAGAGTTCTAATTCTAGAATTGGGATGAAGAATACCTACCTAGTACCTACCTAAGAATATGAAGAACATAACGGATAGGAAGATTATCATCATCCCCCTGAACATCATGTTATTCAACTCCCAAGGACCGGAGTAATAGTGGTTCGATAGGTAAGCTTGAGAATGTAACACCTACCTATCTACCTACCCAGCCAGCACTCATCGATACGGTATTGAGCTTAGGTAGATTGAGGCGCAGTTTGAGGAGTGAGGAAGGCGGAAGGGGGGTTTCTCTCCGATGATAGCGGTAGAGATCTATAGGTCCATAGGTCATTGACAAGATTGTGAATACGAGAATTGGGATACTTGGGATACCGATACGGTGGTGGAGGTGGTGTACTGTTTGTTTGTTTGTTTGTAAAAGAAGACCACCGGTACACTTGGCGGTTAATTGACGGATGAGTAAGGTTAGATGATCCTTGGTCTAGATAGATACTAGGGAGGTAACTGTGTTGTCTAAGTTTACACTTGTCTCGAGAGGAATTTCTTTCGACTTTTCCAAACTCACACCAGAAGAGTTTTTTCTTTCCCTTCACACTTTAGTTATGCATTGGCGGGAGGATAGGATGCGATGGTATCCTCACTAGGTGATCAATCTAGACCCTTAATCAATCATGGTTTACCCTCTGCCGATGTTCTGCACCTCGTTATTTCAAGTGCTGAGGGAGGAAATGCCCGTAATCCTAGACTCGGATCTATGCAGGAAGATGAGGTTAGCTGCTTCCAAATGGATCCAATCCTTGAATAGCCGTCTTGGCCGTGAGAGAAAGGAGGGGCGGGAATGAGGCTTGGACCATGGAATTGGGAGAGAAGGTGGGACTTTTGGTTTTCAGAAGAGGTGAGAGGTGAGAGGTATGAGAGGTGTGAGAGGGCGATGACAAGAAGACGCAGAAAATTATGATGAGTTTTGTGAAACTCTATTTGATACAATTGTAAGACATTTGGATGATGTGGTGATGGACTGAAGGGTTTGAAGGGTAAGGGTTTGGGATTGGTTTGGAGGTGAATTGTTATATTTGGAGGTGAATTGTTATATTTGGAGATGAATTGTTATATTTGGAGTTGAATTGTTATATTTGGAGTTGATTGTTATATTTCGAGTTCATTGGAGATGAGATGTTTGTGTGTGATTTTTTGCATTAGTTTGACTGGCTGTCACCTTTTGCTTTTCTTCCTATGTAAGACCAAGTATGATGACAGGATGAATGATTGATTGAATACATATGGATAACAGAATGAATGAATGAATGATCAATTGATCAATTGAAGAGTTGAATGGCCCGTACCCGTTCGCTCGGGACTACCCTTCCTCCTCCCTCCCGCTATGATTCAGGGACAAATGGTACCATCGCACCAGTCAAGCACAAGTAGATCTACAAACCAAAGGAAGATCGATATTTCCCAAGAAAAGGCTATTTTTTGGGGTGAAAGCTAAGATTGTATACAGTTAGATTCCTCCTCTGGTCTACGGAATACTCCACCATCCAAATGCACTCGCCATCATCATCATCATCATCATCATCATCTAGTATCTAGTATCTAGTATCGTGCATCTAGAATCTATCTCCAACCGTATACCGGCGGTACGCACAAGTAGAAGATTTGTCAATTGTTACATCTTCAAGATTGTCAAGACTTACACGACTCTCGATTCCTCAAAGGGGGCTTATTTTCCCTTGGTATGTTCGCCGAGTATCCGAAGCTAAAGTGGAATTGCGTATCCACTGTGGTGTCTGTGTCTTGAAACAAAACAGACGTTCATTTTCTTCCAATGCGAGTGAGTCCCTTGACCAAGTTGAGCCCCTCCTACCTCCTCCCTCAACTTTCAAGCCTCTTGCATTTCAATATCTAACGAAAGAGAGGTGAAGAAAGAAAACGTACACGGCACACGAAAATAGAAAACAAAACCACTGGATAACGTCATTCATTGCCTTGCCTTCCTTGCCCTGCCCTGCCCTGCCCTGCCTTGCCTTTGGAACAACTTCATTTTTTCCTTCTTCAACCGTGCCACCTAGTTACTGGGTATTTATTCATCTATCCGAGTACTTACTACTCCTATTTTGGACATCTATTCATCAAGATTCAATGTTTGAGCATTCATTCCAAATTAGGTAGTATTGTGCCCTTCACACACCTTTTCCTCGACTCGACTACTTCCTACAGAGTAATTCTTTTTCTGACGTCGACTTGTGAAATCCTAGTCCCACCTTCACCATCCCAAATTCCTATCGCTATCTAAACTTTTTCCCCAAACTTCTCGAATACGAGTTATACCTACCTCTTCCCCCCAAAGCTTCTCCACTCGTTTGAATCTTCTCTCTACCTTGAATACATTCACCATTCCATCTACAGATCTGCCAAAGTGATTAGGCGTCAAAGGAATCACTGCAGAATCACAGGAGGAAAAATGTTGTTTTCTCGCCTCTTTTCGGTCAGTTTACTGGCTGCGGGAGTGCATGCTCAAGCAACGTCAGAAAGTACTTCGAGTTCGAGTTCTAACACAGATTCCACATCAACGGAAACTGATTTAACCACAATAACGGGGTCGGAATTAAGAACTCCCACAGGATCTTATCTTTCTCTTTCCACTACAATTACACTTTCTACATCTTCATCCCCTGTATCGACTAAAGCTATAGTCTCGACTTCAACTGATAGCACCACCACTCGCACCACGACTTTGGGGTCAACTACAATCTATGCATTGGGCACAGAGACGTTGACCGGAAATGCAACAGAATCAACCAGTTCCGCTACACAGATTGTTCTGACGGGTGGAGGACGTCATACCACCACCACTGCCATCAATGGAACATCCAATTCAACAGCCACATCCACCTCCAGCTCTGCCGTAGCAACTAACACCACTCCCTGCAACAACTATGTTGAATTTTGCGACCGCAGTTACGGAAACATCACCGAAGTATCCGCACACAATTCTCCCTTTGTGAGAAGTGGTAGCGCGGCTGCAAATCAAGCATTGGATGTGACAACCCAACTCAACGATGGCATCAGATTATTGCAGGCTCAGATTCAATGGAATGGAAGTATTCCACATTTCTGCCATACTTCCTGTGATATATTGGACGCCGGTCCGATCACAACGTATCTGAGCGAAGTCTACGATTGGGTGCAAGCCCACCCCTTCGACGTTGTCACCATTCTCCTCGGCAATGGAAATTACTCCAAAGTCGACAAATACGTTCCCTTTATCGAAGAATCCGGTCTCCAAAACTTCGCATACGTACCCCCCAAGATTCCCATGGCGCTAGACGATTGGCCCACCCTCGCCAGCATGATTCTTAGCGGCAAGAGAGTCGTCTTCTTCATGGACTACGAAGCAAACCAAACCGCCTATCCATGGATCCTCGACGAATTCACACAAATGTGGGAAACGCCTTTTGATCCCACCGATCGCTCATTCCCATGTACACCACAACGCCCACCCAATCTTCTCGATTCAGATGCGAAATCGCACCTCTACATGACGAATCATAATTTGAACTACGATATCAATCTTCTGGGAATTTCACTGTTGGTCCCATATCAAAATTTGCTGAATGAGACGAATAATTCCACGGGATATGGATCGTTGGGAATGAATGTCGAGCAATGTGTGCGGGATTGGGGATTTCCACCAAAATTTCTGAATGTAGATTTCTACAATGTGGGACAAGGAAGTGTTTTTGAAGTCGCCGCTGAGTGGAATAATGTCACATATAATCGAGAATGCTGTGGTAGTTCGGCGAAGAGTGATGCGGGAAGATTGGATGTGGTAGGGAGAAGTGCAGTCATGCTTGTGATGGGTGTGCTGGGTTTCATGTATTTTGGATTGTGATGTGAGGTGAGGGATCGAATGTGATTTCAGGATGTATGTGTGTATAGATGGTATAATGATTGTTGATATCAGTGGGGTTTACTTTGATATTCTGGATGGTTGGATAATGCTTTGCTTTGCATTGCATCGCATTGCATTGCTTTGTATTGTATACATGGAATGGCGTTTTGGATATCTATCTAGCTTGGAGACTTGGATGCTTGAAGCTTGCTTGCATAGGAAATTATGAGATAGATTATTGGTACTAGGTAGATGGGATGGATATATAAAAGATATATAATCATTGGAATACTTTTTTTATTTGAGTTTTTTTATGAGTGTGAGTGTGAGTGTGAGTGTGAGTATATGATTGATCTCTATTTTGAAACTTGTAGTGTTGATGTTGAGATTGATAGTAATGTTTATATTGATATCAATAGGTGAGTGATATTAATACTAACAATCGTTTTCTCTTTCTCTCCTCTTCTCTTCCTCTTCTCTTCCTCTTCCTCTTCCTGTCTATCTGTTTGTTTGTCTATCTGTCTGTTTATATATTTATTAATCATATATAAATAATTCAATAATCATTTATTCATTCATTCATTCGCTTAAACCAATCCCTATATATTAGGATATTAGGATATTAGGATATTAGGATATTAGGATATTAGGATATTAGGATATTAGGAATAAATTATAAAATTATAAAATTATAAAATTATAAAATTATAAAATTATAAAATTATAAAATTATAAAATTATAAAATTATAAAATTATAAAATTATAAAATTATAAAATTATAAAATTATAAAATTATAAAATTATAAAATTATAAAATTATAAATTGTAAAATTATAAAATTATAAAATCAATCGTATAAATGTATAAATCGAGTAAATATATATCTAAATACTCGTGCTCATACTCATACTCATACTTATATTATAAGAAATAAGAAATAATACAAATATAAATACTCCCAGTTAGTTTGTTTGATTCAATAATCTATACTTTGATACTTTTTAGGGGTAGATGAGTAGATGGGATATTAATGGGATGTTGAATGGGTTGAGTTGGGTGGGTTGGATTGGGTGAGGAGAGGAGAGGAGAGGAGAGGAGAGGTGAGGAGAGGAGAGGAGAGGAGAGGAGAGGAG